TTATCGATATCTTTTTTTGCTAACTCGCATGCATACTTTCTTCGGAAAGTCGACAATTATCATTGCACAATGGACGCCGAGGAAGATATGTAGCTCCTGCAGAAAGTGTATATATATATATATATATATATATATATATATATATATATATATATATATATATATATAAATATAAATACATATATAATGATATTTACGTTTCCCACACACATTTTCTACGCTTTGCATATCTCATCTCTCACACGCTCAACTTGATAGTCGCGAGGCACAGGCGCCATTTGACTTGGAAATATCCTTCTACGAACTATAAATAGCCCGATTTCCATCTCTTATGCGCGCCGACATACTTCAAATTCATGGCCCTCGATATTCGTCCGAAATCGCAACGCCGGCGGATCTGTCCGGATTTCTTCCAGAAGTGCATGCGTCGCGTGCATTCAAGGATGGGTAACGGTGGCGAGAGGAAACGGAGCCACGAGACCGACACGGGGATTGGGAATCACGAGGATCATCCTTATCCAGACTCGTGACGATCTCGTACGCCGGGGATCGCGAGGGGATCGTCCGCCGGCTAATCTCCTCGTAGGGACACTGACAAAAGACCGTGACGAGCGCTTTATCCCGCGTGAGATCGACGCGAAATCGGATCTGCCGTCGGCTCAGGACACTGCAGTGATCAGATGTTAATCTGAAGCGTTTTCAGACCGATACATTCAAACCAGGGACGATAATCCGTTATGTGACGAAATTCGCGAGAGGGTGCTCCCAGGAGGAGCTTCGGCTGCCCATTTGTGACGTAAGCTCGCTGGAGGAAAGTCAGCTACGCGAAGTGTTAGCGAAGAACCCCCCCCCTTTAACTACGGACATCGCCATTCCCCCGGGTCGGAATTTTTTATAGCCCTGCATTGGAGCCCTGAACTTTCTAACATCGTTATGTTCCGAAGGATCAGCATATGCGCGATGCACATGGAAACTGAAATCCTACCGAACGTCTCTAAGTGGCAGAAAACGCACGAGATGCCACTCGATGTAGGTTCTCGAGAGGATATCTCGGCAAAGTTGGTAGGTTAAGTGGAATCAAAAGAGATTGATACAGACTTTGTAGTATCAAAATAGACGTTGAATGAAATATCGAGGTCGAAAAAATAGGATGAAAATTTCGATTTACAAAGTATGATAGCATACCACACACGCGTATGCACACACATACACACGCATACGGACGACAACGCATGAGTGCGCGCACGGCCAGATTGTCATACAGTATAATTTGAAGCGACACGGCCGGTCCTCTCTTTTAAAATCCAAGACGCGACTCCCCCGAGCGATACTCCGCTTTTCAGCGCGAGCGTTTAAGCAAAGTACGACGTTTGGCCGGACCATGATGATGAAATCCGAGAAGTCACTCTCCATCTCTCCGACCCGGTAAAATTGAAGACAGTTCGCCACGACTAAGTGGCGATTTTGCCGGAGCTCTCCGCGAGAGAACACGTTTCACTGCCAGCCACGACCGAAATATGCGCGCAAAATTTACCGTCGACACGTGTCGTCTCGCGCGCGCATCGCGCGATTTTGCGTATGCAGCTCGCGCGGAAATTTCATTTACAATGTCGGGGTTACGGCGGCTCTACACGTTCTGTTCAATTCGTACACACAATGTGTCTATGATGATAGACGAATACACATTGCACGTGGAAAGAAAATAGGCAAAGGAAGAAGCGAGGGAACGCGATAATCGCGTGCAATCGACTCGTAGCGAGAGACGGCTGATCGTGCAGCTGACGATAATTTTCCGCATTTGCAGGATCAATTTTTCATTGAATGTGAAATTTAGGAACGTGCAATTTCCTTTTAGCTTCCTTTCTTGCGCGCACGACACTCCGCCGGCCTCGCATCGCATTATCATAATATTTCTTTACGTCGAATTCGCGAAGCGTGCGCGTTTTTAAAGGTTTAGCGTTATCCCTATGAATATGCTGCAATACGTAAGGAAGGGCAACATCGTGGTGACATCGTACAGCATGTTACAAAACACGATGCCTCGTGTGTAACATATACGAAGTATTTATCAATTCACGCTTAACGTAACCAATACGGTGACTTCACAACGTGACGTTACGTTTTTCTACTTTGCCGAACTATCAACCGGAATTTATTTTTTATGAAAACCCCTGTATATTGACATCTTGTGCGACGTTTCGAAATTGCGTGACGCTAGTCCGACGTTCAATAAAACTCAAAGCGAAAATCGATGTCCCGTTTCCGCAACTCTAACCGGTGACGTCCATCGATAATGCGGTCCAGAAAACTTTTTGCAAGAGTTACAACTACGGCAGATTTCTTATTGCTCTTCGCGTGTAAATTTGGGAAACTTCACCCGTTCGTCTACACCGAGAGAACAAATACCTAAGAGATAGTAGACCTCGGCGAGTGCTAACAATCAAATTTTACTCGTACTAATATAACATTTTTCAATGAAATAAGACAATATACATTTTTTTGAAATCTTAAGGAAAGTGCTTAATTTTTCATAAAAACAATTGTTTACTCGATTTAAGGCTCCTGGCTCCTCCGCATTGTCTATCTCTTTTCAATGACATCATAAGCGAGAAAATGCATGCTAAAAAATTCTTGCGAAATAAAAATATACATCCATAAAATAACACTTGCAATTGATTAAACAAATTTATGAGATATTCCGTGAACTCCCCTTTTGCTCTAACAATCAATAATTTGTCGTAAATTAATAACGTGACATACAATTCATCTTCTTATTTTTTTTGCCTATTTCTATTCAGGTTAATTTATAGTAAATTATGGAATGTTAGAACAAAAGGGAAGTAGACGGAATATCTTACAAGTTTGTTTAATCGATTGCAAGTGTTACTTTATGGATATACAGGGTGTCTCACACTCTCCTCCGGGCATTTTGTGGGGACGTAGAACAGGTTGAGGTAAATATAAAAGTCCTATACCGTTTTGCGATATTCGCAAAATAATTATTGAGATATTAATTGTAGAAAATTTGTGAATGATCATGCAGGATATGGTAAATGAGTTATAATAACGATGACTGCCGTCGTGTACTTATACTTTAGATCAAATTGAACAAAAAAGTCCTCTACCATTTTACAAATAATCACATAGATTTTTAATTACTAATTAAAGAAGATGAGTGCATTATAACGTAAAATCGTGCAATAATTTTCTTTAATTAATAATTAAAAATCTATGTGATTATTTGGAAAATGGTAGAGGACTTTTTTGTTCAATTTAACCTAAAGTATAAATACACGACGGCAGTCGTCGCTACTATAACTCATTTACCATATCCTGCATGATCATTCACAAATTTTTTACAACATCTCGATAATTATTGCGAATATCGCAAAACGATATAGGACTTTTATGTTCACCTCAACCTGTTCTACGTCCCCACAAAATGCCCGGAGGAAAGTGTGAGACATCCTGTATATTTTTATTCCAACGTATTTCACCAAAATTTTTAGCATGCACTTTCTTGCTTCTGACGTTATTAAAAAGAGATAGACAATGCCAGGAGCCAGTAGCCCTGTTCTGTAACTCGTTATTGAAGTTAACGACAATTTCGTTATCGTTGCGCAGCTTTTATATACCGTAGAAAAGCTGCGCAACTGTCGTTAACTCCAATAACGAGTTACAGAATCCCAGCACAGGCAAAAAAGCACTTAAGCAAAAAAGAATTTAGATTCAAGCAAGTACGTTATTAGTACCCATCAAAAATAAATTATCACTATGTTTTGAACATTTTTCCTCTCAATGTAGATGTGTTCAATCCTCACGTATCAATGTTCTCTCTCCCTCAACTAAACTATGTGAAAATTTTCTTACTACTATTCTACTTTCATATCTCAGAGAATGTATATTGCGCTCAATAAAAACAGTTGAATGAAAATGAAATGCAAATTTCCCGATATTTCCAAGTAATAGATGGGAGTTTTTAGATAAACCGTTAAGCTTAGCACGTTTCAATGCTGCGTGCACGCGACCGAAAGCGGTATAGCGAGTATATTACAGCCTACCAGGATTTGCCTCATCGGAATTATCGGTAAAGTACGCGAGAGAAATCGAAGCGAACGCCGTGACAACCGACGTTCCCGAACTCAAGCCAAATGTTCCTAGACGAGACGACGGCGGCGAGCGGTAGACGACGCGCGATCAAAGTTTGTTCGCGTCGCGTATAAATCTTCCGGATGAGCAATAAAATCCTCTGTATAAAGCCCTTCGTGAAAAGATTCGGCACGAAGAAGCGTTTTTAGAACTCACACGGCGGGAATCGGTGGTCACGCTCGGCGCGCTGGGAGATAAAGTTTCGCTGGACCGTCATTTGTCAAGATGTTGCTCGGCCCACGATACAAAAATGGAAAGTCAGTAAGATGGATTCTCGTAAAACAGGCATAATCTACACGGTGTAAAAAAGTTTGGTTGGATTAATCGAACGTCTGGTGAAATATGAACGAATCAGAATTCCGGTTGAGAAGTTATCAAAATTCTGTTCCGTTTACTAGACATTCGGCCAGTCGAATTTTTTCCCGCGTATTCCACGAGTTTGCCACACTGAGAGAAAAAAATGGTTGATCCAACTAAAATATTGGCCTCAACCAAATTTTTGGTTGTGTTCCAACACGAGGATGATAGTACAGTAACAATAAGATTATAATCACTAACATTACAGCAAAATTCAATTAAAAATTAGTTTTTTTTAATAGTAAGTAACAGTAAGTTATAGTAGACGTCTTATAGTTGTTTCTCTACATGACTATAGTTACAAGTACTATTTTTTTTCTCAGTGCACTTTGCCTATGAGAGTATCGGGAGCTGCGTTTCCGTATTTCGCAGCTACCCCTAATTATTTATCATCGCTCCCATCATTATCGTCATTATCTCTAATGCCGCGGACTGTTGGCGCCCGGAGGTCGCGGTGGTGCATCTTCAGAAACGCGCGGATAGCATGATCTCACCGAGCAGATAATGCCGTATCCACTTTTTCTTCGGCGGGGGCGGCATCCAATCGCTGCTGCGTCGCGGCGACGGTGGCGGCGGCGGTGGCGGTGGCGGTTCTTGGTCGTTGACGATGTTGATTATACCGACGACCCGTGTCGGCGTCGGCGGCGGTGGTCGCGACGGCGGTGGGCTATTCGCGTCCGTCAGGTCGCTCACGTTGTTGTTCGCCTCGCCGACAACGCCGACGTCGATGCCCGCGCTCAGGCTGATGCGCGACTGCGGCGTACCGTCCGGCAGCAGGAGGACACCCATCTTCGCCGAAAAGCCGGCGATCAGAGTGCGCAACTGAGAGATCTCCGAGACTTCGGCTTCCTATCACTGGGGAAAAATCGACCGACCGCGCGCTATATCCAGCACCTCGTCGTCGCTGTGTACCGCGAACATCGATGTCGCGAACTAGACGTGGCGCAGACGTTGTCGCCGTTGTTATCCTTGCTATCGTCGTCGTCGCCGTCGTCGTCGTCGCTGTCGTCCTCGTCGTCGTCCTCGTCCCCGGATGGTGGCTCTCGCGATGACCGACAGCACCGACGACGTCGCCGTCGCGCACGGCTCGCACCGAGCGTGAATGTGGACGAAGGCGCCGCGCGGGGAAACAGCGGCGGCGGCGGGAATGCGAAACGCGCGGCAAAGAGAGAGGAGGTCCGACAGCGTGGTACCGCGACGGCGATGGAGAAGGGAGCGCACGGCGAGGGCCGACTGCGAGGCCGCCGCGCTAGGAAAAATCCGGACTTTCGAAACGCGTTCGCGGCGGGGTGGCGAGCCCGCTCGAGCGATCGTCGCGAGGGTTGCGCCGTTGCTCGTCCACCTCATTCCTCGGGGCTGATCTTCGAAAGGACATCCTGCGACGCTGACGCTCGTCGTCCGACGAGGGAACGAGTCGTCGTTTTAACTGTACATTTTACCAGCTACGTGTATTCTATAACGCCCAGTCGCGCGCTAATACCTCCCCGAATGCCAGTTCCACACGAACGACAATTTTGAATTGGCCGGAGAGACCGCGTAGCGAGGAAGAGCTCCCTTTGACAGCGAAGAACCGGCACTACTCCACCGTTCGTACACTCGCGCCACTCGTGACTCTACCGTAGACGCAATTGACAATGTAAACCGTGTATACCATCGTGATTATTCGTCATCATCGTGCAGCACGCACGTGTGCGCGAGCGAGCGAGCGCGCGCGCTCGCCGATCGATCATCAGCTGTTTTCCCGACTTCTCTGGCGAATTCGTAGCGACCGCGATCGATCGTTCGATCGATCGATCCTGACGATTGATCGAACAACGCGCGGGCCGATTCGACGGTAACGTGCTGCGTGAGTCGCGGGTGCCGACTGAAGTCTAAACTTAAATGCCGGCCGCCTCCAACCTGAGGATGACGTCCCCGTGCCTCCCATCGCTCCCTTCTCGCCGGGCAGCAACGGCAGCGGCGGCGGCGGCAACGGCGGCGGCGGCGGCGGCGGCGGTGACGACGGTGGCGGTGGTGATCTCCCGTCTCTCTCGCCGCCGTGACATCTCCGTTCTCGCCGAGAACTGCCTCCAGTCATTCTCGGCACGGTCACTCCGTCCTTATCGCGCGAAGGAGGAGGACTTCCTGCCGCGGTGCGACGGCGCGACACGTTGGCACTCACTCGGTTTCAGGCGCGTGAAGCCGCGCACGCTCCATCGGTGCGCAGCTATGCACGATATCCAGATTTACTTCAAGACATTAGCGTGCTTCCGAAGCGGTAGGTCTTAAGTTTGCGCGCTTAGGTTCGATGTCGTTTTATAGCAAATGAAATCGAGAACAAAATAGCGTCTCTGTGGTAATATTTACTAGTCGAGGTCGATTCCCCATTGGCGCAGCAATGCACTTTTTCCTTATACATAACTTTCCATTTCTTGAAATTGCATTACGCGAAGCGTGAACTGATAAATCTTTAATACACGCTAAACTCATATTTCCGCAAGGCGGAGTACGATGAACCGAGCTTTTCTATATCTTTTTGTACCTTTAGTAACTTTCGAATTGCGATAATGTACATATGTGTGTGTATGTGTGTGTGTGTATGTGTGTGTATGTGTGTGTACACGGTGCTTATCACTTCATATTTGCAAGAAGCCAATAAGTACGATCTAAATCAATGATAGTGTACACTCACCATCTATTATCAACATATTCTCCTCGCAGAATAGATCATCCGGATCTGAGCGTTCCTTTTTGATTTTGACACCTAAGAAAAACACAGAAACGGGACATTTAATTAATCGATTCTCGATTAAAACAAATTCTTCCAGTTCCATAATATTTATAATATTAATTCTACAAGACTGATAAGCGTTTAAGTTTTTAATGTGTACAAGGAGAATGTTGAGAAGAAGCTATTTATATTGTATTATTTTCTGTTTTTAAGAAAAGCCCAGAAACAATTCGCTATGATCAGTTGAGATTTCGTGTCAGGGATTCTATTTTTAACATTCTCCTTTGTACCACTCTTAACTGCATCCTGAACTACTGTCCTTAGGAAGTTATACTTTACTTTCCGATGATAAGAACATCGACATACATACACATACAACACACATACATACACAAGTGTGTAAATACATGGTCGTACATTCAGTCAGACATCTCATCTGCCTGTCTATTTTTGGGAAAGCATTTCGCGCAGAGAAGACGATTGTTGAATCCACAGGTCGATAAGGTATGAAAAATTGAAAGAAGCGCGTCTCCACGTGCTAAAACGGTGAGGGGTAGAGAGGTCGGAGGAGAATCCCCTAGATCAGTTCGGCCGGCGTGGCGGCAAAGTGGGAGATGCAGGCGAAACAGTAGGGGGCCGCAACGGGAGCGAGGTGCACGGTGGTGGGGGGAAAATCCAAACTCGTCGAGCTGACTGTCTCACTCCTACCCGTTCTGTCCGCCATCCCTTCACGCCGCCGAGGAGTTGGCAACGCCGCGGATTGATCAAGAGCCACGCGGCCGGTTGCACGTGGTGGGGATTTAGCCGGGGACAGGACGCATGCGCACTGCAGCAGCCGACTTGTCCGCGTGCTCGCTGACCGTCACTGACTGCACGCGCGCGCTCAACCCTTTCGAGAAAGCTTGTCTCCGTTTGTGTGAAATTCACACGGAGTCTTGTCTCTGATTTATCGTCTGGTAACAATCAAAATTTGTCGTTACGATGTTGAAATTATTTAAAATAAGGATTCAGATTATCGTTCCTTTTTCTCCTTTTGGAGAGAAATTAGATTTTGTCGGGTCTGAATAATCAGAGTTGTTTAAAAACCTTCGACTTCTCCGGGGCAAAACGGCCGACAAGAGTCTTTGGAGAATGTGTGGAGAATGTAACGATCGCATAACCATATCTTGGTAATTGCGCGAGCACTTTGCGACTGCTCGACGTATCTGACACGACGACGACGACGACGGTTAAGAGGCTGAGAGGCTGGCAAAGCCGAGAATCCGTGAAGAGATTCAATTGCGCGTTATTCCCGCTGGGGAAATAAGTGGGACGAGCGCGCAGTCGAACGACGTTACGCGCGCGAGTCGCATAATTTCTCCCTCATGGAGGCAAGACTTCGCGCGGCGTAAAATACGGGGGATGACAGTCGCGTTACGACGTCATAAAGTGGAATTGCATCCTTCAGCCGCGTGCACAATAGACGGTCTTAAACGGTCATTTAACACACGTTGCCTCCAGTATATTCTATATCAGGTATAATCCAGCACCGTGTCGTACCGGCGTGGCGCAGCACGCGCACCACGTTAACAGACCGGATGCGTGGAGATAGGGAGCGAATTACGACGTTTAAATCATCCGCATTACGATCGAGGTCGTACGCGAGAATGGCACCAGCAAACTTGCGCATCTCGCGGGACGCTACTGACCGACCTATCCCGAGATAGCCGCGATATGTACAAGACGTAATTCATAATATAAATAAAACCTTATGTTGAAATACGATCACTCCCTCTCCCTCCCTTGTACCTTAAGCGGTGTTTACAATGAGAACTTAAGCCATTAGATTTAAGCTTTAAGTTTAAAGAAATTGAAATCATAATCGATTATTTCCCTCATATTTGATTGTAATTGGTCAATTTCTCACAATTTAAGGCTTAAACCTTAAATTATGGCTTAAGTTCTCATTGTAAACACCACTTTGTGTCGTGGTAAGCTAAAGGAAACGAGTTGCCGAAAGGTGCGACTGAATGTCAAAGAATTTGGATTTTCACAGGTCATAATTTCACGCCAAAACGTGGAATTTCACCCATCGATCGTACTGACGAGAACCGCATTTTCGTCGGTATCGGGCGAGTGTGCGTAAACACGGCACCAGAGTCGAACACCTGTTCACGTCGACGCGACGAACCCACGATAAGACATCGATCTGCTGTGTATCGTGAGCGTTTTTTGTCACCCTCTATACGGTGCAGCAGCGCATTGCAATTGGTGGCCTTCGAGTCACCCACAATCTCGTTCGCGTATTAATCACGCACGACGCGATCTGGCTGTAAGGAGAATCGCGATACGTCAGCTGCGTCGCGCCGATGGCAATAAGAAAGATCTCGCGCATAATGATAAGTTAGATAAGGGCGAAGTGGCGGATAAGCAAGAAACAAACATGTGCGACGATAATAACAGGACATATCATTGAATAAACGCTCACGCACGCAGCTTCAACCACATGTAACGCGCTTCCTTCATCGTACCAGTGACCTCCTTATATCTTTGTACCAAGATATCGTATATTAACGATACGTATATTAACGCCTGGTTATTTTATCCGCATCAAGTATCAAATAATAACAGTCTCGTTAGTGGCAATACTCGCGAAAATATTAAAAAAATATTAACATTGATACATGTTGCTATACCGAGAGGTGTCTGTGAGGAGAGACAATGAAAAAGAGAGAGAGAGAGAGAGAGAGAGAGACAGAAAGCGTGTACTAGTCGCGCGCGCGCGAGTAGATGGCGCGCACGTGAATGAAGCGCGAGTGCCGCAGCCGTAGTTTCCAGAGTCAGTGACCGGGTCGCCCTCCTCCCTACTCTTCTCTCACGACGCGCGCGGTACCCGGGTTTTACTACACCGTCGTCGTCGTCGCCGCAGCAGCAGCAGCAACGACAGCACCACGGTCACCACCGTCGTTCTCCTCTCTCTGTCTCTCTTTCTGCCTCCCCACTATTTCCTCCCTGTCCCCGCTTCGTTTCGCGCCGCTACACCTTACCCTCCCTTCCTCCGTGACGATTCGACCTCGTCGGTCGAGTACCTACGCCACTTCTCCGTCCTCTCTTTGCTCTTTCTCTCTCTCTCTCTCTCTCTGTCCCCCGACCGCACCGAGTCGCCGTGACTTCCGCCATCCTCCGATACCCCTCGCAGCTCCCTCAGTCTCTCTTTCTCTCGCTCAGTCTCTCTACATGCAAGTGGCTCGAACACGCGCCGTTGATTCCGCCGCGAAGCGCACGAATCAAACGAATCTTTGCCGCGCTCTTTGCCGATTCCCCCGTCCCCCCCTTCAGCAGAGCCCGAAACTAAGGTCTGTTCCCACCCCTTCGGTCTCGTTTCCTTCGCGTCTCCTCGCGACCCCCGTAAACATCCATCGCTGCTCGCGATGTACTTTCGCGCGCGGCGCGCTACGTCGCGAGAAAGGGAAAATTCCAGCATCCTCGATGTTGTTCCCGCGGCTCGCGTTGCTGAGCACGTTCCACTCGCCGGCGATCAGCACGATCGGCTGCGCCTCTGTCTCGCCCGGCGATGTAATATAATCGCGCTGTGCAACACAGGACTTCAGATCGGAACGATGAAAAACGCACTGCTCGATAACGGAGTTTTCGCGTATTTCCTCGAGCGAACGTGAGAAGAGGATCTCGAGACCAGTCTTGAGAATCGCGAGGTCGTTCTCAACGATCTCCACAAGGCAGAGAGAGGGGAGGGAGAGAGAGGGAGAAAGAGAACGGCGAGGGACGACTTAGTCGCGTGCATCGCCGTGTTTCGTGTCCGTCCGGGTACCCTTTCTCGCGTGCGCCGAGGACCCGTCTCGCAGGATCGGCGACTGGTCAAGTCGTTGACCCGGGAAAACGCGGCAATCGAAGCGACACAACGCCGATGATCCGGTTAGTCCTGCGATTACGATCGTCCGGGGGCAACGCGGCCAACCGATTGACCGATAGATTGCACGCGGAAAAGAATAATACCGCTGACATGCAACAACGCAGAACTTCTCCTGACGTGCGCTCTTCTTTATTTTAGTACACACGAGTGTGATCTTCCTGCTCGCGGTCAAATGTGCGTGTGCGAGCACAAAACGTTCCGTTTCACGTTTCGCGCAAACGAACGGCGGCGAAATCTCAACTCTCGAGAGCTAATTGCTGTAGCGCCGTGAGCAACAAACGTGTCTGCTTAACCGTAATCTCCCTAGCCAGAGATTAACGGCCAGCCCCGTTACTTTCTCGAGGTGTTCGCCGATATTGAGAGACACTGCCGCGAGGTAAATCATACCTAATTTGGAGACGGCGAGCGCGTAGGTCATCGCGCGGGCGATTCGCATGTGCGTGCCCAGTGCCTCTCAATCGAGGCACGCACGCGGCAATCGACGGATAAAATGTTTACCGTCTCGATTCTGGATTTCATAGAATTTCAAGCTTATCTTCCGGGAATGATTAAGATAATCATCCCGTGGAACAATCTCTCACGTTTCCCCGTTTTCAATCGCTTTCACACGTTAAAGTTCGCCGCGTGCGCGGTGACTTAATCGACATTTTTACGTTTCACGTGGAGAAGGCATCGCGTTATTATCAGCCGATTACTCACTGCACCGGCGCGGCTGTTGCCAGTGAAACACAGAGAAAGGACGTACAAATAACTGTCGCGCTTTGATAAAACGCTTGCAACACCTCTGCGTCCTTATCCGTGTCTTCGACAAAACAAGCGGAGCGTATAATCGTATATCTCGCGTATAATCGCGCTCAACTTCGAATGTTTACAAGTGACAAAATCACTCTCTTAGGCCTGTTCTACAATACACGTTGTATGTCGCTGTCGGAGTGTGTCGGCAGCCGATGGTCCGATAAGGAGAACTCGTCTCGAGAAACAAATCCTCTGATTGGCCTATCGGCTGCACTCCGACATACGACAGCGACATAAGACGTATTATAGACCTTAAGGCCAAATCACACTAACGATTGGCGATTGACAATTAAAGATTAGATTTTAACGAATCAACAAGCTTCAGCCTTGGCTTGCTTTGTTCCAATTGGTCAAGTTCCAATCTTCAATCGTCAATCATCTATCGCCAATCATTAGTGTGATTTGGCCTTTAGAGATTCCGCGCGAATCAAGATCGCATTCAGGAAATATTTTCGCGTCAAGTATCGATATTTTTTCTCGATACCGACGATGGGAAGTATTGACACTTGGTACGAATACGGTGACCCTGTACTCTTGTCACAACAAAGTACAATGAGATGCGACGCGACGCCACTGCACACCTCTTCCTCCCTTCGCCTCCCTCTCCCTCTCTCTCTTTCTTTCTCTCTCTCTCTCTCTCTCTGCACTCTTCATTTCCACTCTCCTCTCTCCATACGTACAACAACGCAACGCGCTGAAAGGTCGTCGGGAAACGGCGCGTGGTACTCACCACGTGGTCTGGTAGTGGAGGCGTAAGTATGATTAGAGTGGGGCGGCGCAGACACGAACGAATGCTGTTCGGATGAGGAAGAGGAGGAGGTGCTCGCAAGGCGCTCCCGCTTCTTCTCCTCCTGTTCTACGTAGTAGGCCGCTTGCAGCAATGTTTCCAGACTCATCCCGCTCGAGATATGTTGTTCTGTTGCAGAGCAGGTGGAGGGGACAGACCGATGATGCTGCTGTTGCTGGTGTTGTCGCTGCTGCGCCGACTCTTTGTGCTCGCGGACGGCCGAAAGATCGTACTGGCTCCGCGGCATCGGCTAGCCGGCCTTGCAACGATCGTCGGTGGTTTTGGACGGCAGCGGTGGATCAGCAGCACCAGGTCGAGTAGCACACGCTGTAGCTCCACCTCTTCTCCCTCTTGGTCGTTTCTACACGCAAAGATGGTTTGCGACAACCTGCATGCAAAAGTATCAGTTCCTTAACAAACGAGTCATGTTTGTCATTAAACACGTGCAAAAGTAACGCTTCCGACAGTAACGCTCAAGTTAAAGCACCCCGATATACTCTAGTAAACATTAGCTCCGGCGCGATCGTTATTCCGTGCGAGACAATGGGTAGCGTGACATGTTTATCGGCCACCACGTGACAGGTTTATCGGCGAATTCGGGGAAAGTATATATCGGGGCACGGTTTCTTATCGAGAATCTTCGAGTGCAGCTCTTACCGCATTGTTTGGGAGGGCACGTTGCACGGGACTGCGATTATTGGGCTTATCTCTAGAAGGTGTCGTGGACGTCGCGGACACGGCCGGTGTGTGTCTACGACGTACATCACGTGACGTACACGTGACGTAACGCAGTCGCGCGGGAAGCGCCTCATTTCCACCCTGGCCACCCACTCACGCTGCTCTCGCAACATCGCGCAGGTACGCGACGCGCAAGCGCGGCGGAGGCTTTTTCTGCATCGCAGCGCGATAGCACGCATCCCGGAGCTCGCGTTACTGGAGTCAAGAATCGACGAGCAGGCGGCTCAAAAAAGGCGAGAACGCTCCGGGATAATTGCGAGAAATGCGCGCGCCAGGTCGAGTCGCGAGTTTCTGCGCGAATGTTTCAAATCTCGACCGATTGATACCGCAGTGAAACCGGCAAATTGCACTGATACACCTTTCATGGTAAAGAGCAATTACCTTCTTTCTGTCAATCTTAGCATGGTTTTGATATCAGCGAAGACGCCTTATTTCGAGATTCGATATAGCAACTGATTGAAAATTCGCGATATCGCCAAGTGTATTGCTTGCTTTCGTAAATCTTGTTGATCCTTCATCGCTCACATCTTATTAAAGAAAAAGAAAAAAAAGGGGGGAGAACAACGACAGTGGCGACGGCAGTCTCAGACTTGTTACGTGGCGTTTGCGTGCGCAAAAGCGGTCGCGAGAGCATACGCGATTGCAGCGTATCGGTGTAAGAAATCGCGTAAGTCACGCCGAAGAGGAACGAGAAAGTGAGAAAGAGAGAATTTGTTTTGTCCTGCGAAATATTCCCGTAGGGACAATTGACGAATATCGCCGAGATGTAAAGCCGTGGTAAAAAAAAAAGTAGAGTGAAACTTAGCAGAGTACAGAATAAAAATAAATGCCACGCTCGAAACAATCAGGGAATCATACTTCTTCAGATATATCTGTAGCTCTTGACTGTATCTGTAACACTATTTCCACTGTTCATTCTTAATTTTGAATAGTGTAAACATACTTATTGTGTACATCTCAGCTACGTACTCTTCCGCAAATCATAGAATCACTTAAACAGTGTGACACCCAAATCATTTCGGCCGGCAAGACGATTACCAAAGGTGCATCGAGTCTCAACGAAAATACATCGGCGGTTCGAGTTATCGCGAGCGAAAGCTATCAGAGACCACGAGACTAAAGGTGAAGCAACGAAACAAAACGAGGTATCGAGGTCCGGTAATGTGTTCGTTTGGAAAGTAGATATATACCTCGGCCAGCGGAATCGCGAAAGCGTACGGCGTCGACGACATGCGATCGCGCTCGCATTCTCCGTGGGAGACGCGCGGGGTCGGCACGAGAAAATAGAGGAGAGGGAGAGGACGCGCGGCGTAGCGCAGAGCGGAGCAGAACAGCGCGGAGTGGAGCGGCAGCGTTAACGTCAGCGTCGTCGTCGTCGTCGTCGTCGTCGTCGTCGTCGTCGTCGTCGTCGTCGTCGTCGTCGTTGGCGGCGGCGGTGGCGGTGGCAGCGGTGGCGGCGGCGGCGACGAGGGAGAGGTACACGCACGCGGTGCCTGGGCGGCGCGCGTCCTCGCGAAGAGTCAAGGAAGCGTGCCGCCGCGAGCAGCGCGCGAGCTCCTTAAACTGACAAAGCGACACGCACGTTAGGACGCACGTCGACGACGCACGCATACACCGGCCAATCGCGACACTTGGCGGCCTGTGACGTCACCACTGGACGTCGCGCTATTGGTCCGCTCTATTATGGCACGGAAAACACGCCACGCAACCACCTCTATACACATGTTAATTAAATAGGCGATAGTAACGGAGGAGAGAGAGATAATGGTCCGCCGCGACTCGCCCGCGCTCTCTTTCTCACTCTCTGCCTCTCACTGATTGTGTCTCTCTTTCTCTCTCTGTCTCCTCTCTCTTGTGTTTCCCTCTCCCCTCGTCCCTGTTGCTCTCTCTGTCGAACGGGCGTGGTAACGCGAGAAAGAGAGAAAGACGTAGACGGAGATGGAGAAAGGAAGAGGAGAGGCAGGGTGAACATCGCGGAGCTCTCTGTGCCTTTGTCGAAACTTACGGATTGCATCTTGTGTACCGATTCACATGATTCGAACTCACACTGTATGTGTCGAGCACTTTGCTTCCCCGGTGAATAGACCACGTTTCCTTCCGCCGTTTCGTCCACGCTTGTGCCGCCGGATACTGATTATATCAATCACTCACACTACACACTGTCCTCGTGCAATGCACGTACTCACGCGTATTTGTCAATGCTGTGTCGGCCGCGCGCGCGGCAAAAAGGGATCGTGCGCGGCGGAGTCCACCGGATCTGATCCGGTCGAGCGAGCGGCCGACAACGCGGTAAATCAAGAGCCGAGCGAGAATATTCGCGACCACGACCGCGACCCACCGCGCGACGGACCGACCGTTTCGGAACGCGCGACGAAACGCGGGTTATAACCTGATCGATCTGGCGCGTGGCAGTGGCATTTTACAAGTGCTGAAAACCACTGCGCATCAAACTGCCATGCCTGCACGGCCACGATTCACGTGTCCGGGCACCGCGTCGCGAACCAATCGCTGTGCGGTTTGTGACGTCACTCGGCTGTATCGACCAATGAACGCGGCCCATGTGACGCACAATCCCGCTGGGCGTGAGTGAAGTATCGAAGCTGCTGCTGCTGCTGCTGCCGTCGGTCGGTTGGTCGATTGGTGGTTTGGTTGGTTAGTTGGTCGAGTCGGTCGGTCGGTCGGTCGGGTGATCGGTTGTTCGGTTGCTCGATTACTTGTGACCAGTTCTCCGATTGGCTGATCAATCGGTGAACGTCGTCGCCGTCTTCTTCCTCCTCCTCTTCTTCGTCGTCCTTGTCGTCGTCGCGTGTATGTCGCAGCAGTCACCCGTTGAGCCCACGCACTTTGCCTCGGCGTTTTCTCCGTCACGGAGGCAACACGTCGCGCGCGCGACAAACGATCTGACGTGCGAGCCTTTGTGCACTTCACATCGCGCGATACAAAAGGACGCGGAGGCACACGTACGCGGCGAGAGGGATCGACGCGCGGAGCACACCCGACACCCGGCTCGCCCGGGCAAACACTCGCGCTCCGATCGCGCTGGCGGCGCCGTCACCCTCCACCAGCTTTTGTCACGTTCCTTCTCTGTCACATGGATCGCCGCACGAGCCGAGCGCGCGCGCACGCTGTTGCCGCTTTTACTCGCTCCTTCCTGCCTGTCGGATGGACAGAGCTCTATGCTCCATTGTTTACCTTCGCGAACGCGCATGCTCGCGCGGCAGCGTGAGGCCACCGTGGCCGCCAAAAATACGTTTCCACGCGAAACGTTTTATTTTTAATTTCTCTTTTGCAAAAATTAAGACTATCCACCGATCGTCACGGTTGCACAGATTCGATTATCGATCGTTGCACTCGTCCGAGGAAACACGCACATTTCGATACAAATTATCTCTAGAATAAATTCTTGCAAAACCGTTATTCTCGTAACAATTCGTAATTTGTATATTTATTCATATACAAAACTATTGTCTTATCAACTTATTACATAATACAAGCACACTGTTCAAAAACGCGATTATATATTTAGTAATACATTTCTTGAACACTATTGAATGTGTCGAGAGCGACTACAAACTTACATATTATGCCATATCTATACATAAAACTAAAAGGCCAATATACAATAGTATAACACGAGGAACCGCCATTTCTTTGGAAGCAGTGATAATTTTATATGTTTGTGTCACCTGCAAATTGTCATGTCACTGTGAAAACATGTCTTTTACACCAGATATTGTCATATACTCAAGTCTTGTAAGAGTATAGATCTTTGTAATCTTGCTAGTACCAAGTCTTGCTTGATTCATATTCTAATTTGAATTTATCTGTAACGTATATGATTTAAAACAGTTTTATTTGTACAAAATATGACTAGATTTTGAAGTATTATATTGTCTAATGTAAAAGTGAATATTTACATATATAGTAATAATAATGCCTGCAATATGTCACGTTTTGCAAGAATTTAACATGTTAACATGTTACAAAGTACTATAATAGAGATTCACGAAAAAAGTATAACTTTTATAAATATTATTAGTACCATTTTGTTATGCAATTGAAATACATATATTGAAAGAAGAAAATTATATTCTATGGAAGATCATTCTCTCTTTCTCCTTAATTTTAGCTAAATGGTCATTAATCATCAGGGGAAAAATTCCAATAACTATATAAATAAACTAATTCAATACCAATGAGAAAACATGATTTTAAACAAATAGTGCGTGATTTTTTTAATATATTTAAAAATATTATCTAGAAATATTACATTTTAACCTTACACATCCAAATATTTTGTAATATTTGTGAAGAGATACATTCCTTGCAATTTTAGTTTGTACTGATATACCGATTATTTGTACAAAAACCAACATTGCATTTTATATGAGTGTAAATTTTAGTAATGCTGATCAGACCTGAAAAATTATTGCCTAACCATCGCAATCAAAAAAAGATGACCATTTCGAATATTTTTCTAAAATATTTCATTATTATTTCAGACCATTAAACCATGGAGATTCTTATTAGCGATAAAATTTAACTAGTACGATTTAGCAAAGTAATAGTTATCTACTTAAGTTACTAACGTATAGGTGCTTCAATTCTGTCTTTGGTGTATTCTCGAATAGTGCCGCGCGGTTCTGACCTTCGCCCTTCTTTACCCAATGTCCATAGACCCGGAACGCGCAGCCATCGATTACCTACAAGGAAATATAAATGTCCCCAAATAGTATGCATGTAATCCATACACATCATCCATATAGTATATGCAGTTAAACTTTTACCTTTCGTAAAACTTTTATTCTATAGGGGTCAGTGCAGACTATCTGCGTCGAAAGTGGTTCTGGTGTGCTATGAAGTCGTTTGATACGGATAACAGCTCGTACGCAAATAATTGCCAACTGGAATCTTTTCCGTGCATTAAACGACTTAGCCTTCAATTCCTGCGCAAATTAAGAATACATAATAAAATTTTCAGCAAGTTATAAAAACCCATATAGTTATCGCAATTTACTAATATAAGTCATCTACATTGCTGAAAATTAGTATTCATGTAAATATATTAAAAGGTTATTGTTATTATTAAACTCATTAAATCTAGTAAAAATCGAAATATTTTATTACAATACGATGAGATTTTGTGGGGTATCGATGACAGAAAGTTAGGTGTGTGACAGAGAATAAAATTATTAATATTTACATGCAAGTATTTTATAAAAATAAAATTTGTTAGTTAAGTGCTGTGTAAGAACATGTATGCACACGCAAAATATAAATATTATTTAAAAAAGGAATAGGTATGAGTCAGATATATAAAAATATATTTATACTAGAATTAAAAGCTATCACTACAAATTATTGTAATGAATATTTATATGTATTTACAACATAACCCTACTACAATCAGTTTCCCAAAGCAATATGAATGTTAACTGTTAAAATGATAAATATAGTCGGCGTATCTTATACTTGTCGCCGAACAAAATAAAAAGAAAAGTAATTTACCAAAGCTAACTGAGATATCCTACTCAGACGTCGCGAGTTAGACGATAGAGAACGTTTTAGAGGAGCGATGTCTTGATCCCATAGCTGTAAGGCCAATAACTTACTTTATTTACTTTACTTATTTTATAATCGCATTATAAACTATCGGACGACATTTGCATTATTTTTTAAATATATTTTGAACAACCTAGGGAAAAAATAATTAAAATAAAAAATATACAAATTTTTTTTCCAAAATTTCCCACATTTTTATACCAATTTTACCATATTTTTATACCAATATAATAATAAAAAGATATAAGTATTTTATGTGAAATTTCCTTCACCTATTTTCGGTGCATGTTATAATTTTTAGACATAAAAGTAAGTGCAACATTATTGACATTAATTTATATCTTATAAATCTTGATACTGAAATACATTGACAGATGATAAATGATTACCAGTACAATATATCTCAAATTGAGGGTAATCTATAAGATGTAAATTATGTCAATAATTATTTAGAAGTGCTCATATCAAGATGGCTGCAGGCATATTTTGAAATGGAAATATAATGAGCAAAAACAAAGCAAGAGAATTAATAGAAAGATTTTAATTCCATATTGAAATGTATAAAGTATGTATTAGTTATTTAAAGAAAGGATCTTACATATTAAATTTACTCTCATCTTAAAGTGAGAATTATAAGTATCGACAAACCTATTAATATATCTGTAGTGTTAAGGTACTTACAACAGTATGGAAGAAAGAATGTTCTAATGCATCCTTTATAGAAATCCTTTTTTTAGGATCAACAACTAATAATTTCCTTATTAAATCTTTTGGAGCCTCTGGAGCAAACAAAACATATGAAATGAATATTTCACAATTTCCTATTATTTCTTCAAAATTTATCTCTATCCTTTATCAATATTATGTAATTTTTACCTGTTATATCAGCCCATTCAGGAGATGTAAATGAATATTTTCCTTCCATTATATTTCTAAGCATAACCATTTGCTTTCTGTGCCAAAATGGAGGACTGCCTACTAATAGTGTAAACATAATCACACCACAAGCCCATCTATTATGTCATAAACATAAAAATCTATTATATAATAGAATATACAAAAAATCTTGATATATTTGTTATAATTTATATTGAGATCTATGCAAAATTACACACACACACACACACACACATATATAATCATGTAATAATAATTATATATATATATATATATATATATATAAAAGTATATATAATATAATATATATATATATATATATATATATATATATATATATATATATAAATACACATATACATATAGTAAAAACAAAACTTACATGTCAACTTCGAATCCATAACCTTCTGCAGTCTCAAACATGTTACATTTTAATACTTCTGGTGCCAAGTAGCCAGGTGTACCGCAGAGATCTGTAAAAAAATTGTGCAAGTTAATAAAGTTTCCTATTATTTTGTACAAATATTTATTCACATATAAAAGTAGAACATACCGTACAATTTCTCCCCAGGCTTCAACACTTTGGCAAAACCAAAGTCTGTTATTTTTACATTCAAGTTATCATCAAGCAATATGTTTTCAGGTTTTAAATCTCTATGCACTATCCCTTGGTTGTGCACATGTTGGAGTCCCTCAAACACTTGCCTCATGATATAACGTGTCTTTTTTTCAGAAAGTGTCACAACGGATGTGAGATAATCAAATAATTCTCCATTCTTGCACAGTTCAAAAATTAAAAATATAAATGTACTAGATTCAAAGACATCGTGCAATTCAACTGCAAATAGGAGAAATGATTACCTTACTTATAAGAATCTAAATATTACATTAGCTTTGTAATATTTATCAATATATACACTTTCACTTAATCTTTCAAAGTGAAAAACCTACTAATGTATGGATGTCCTGCTGCCCTACGAAGTATCTGTACTTCTTGCAGTGTGGCATCCTTCATCCCATCCTGAGTCTCATTACTAATATCAATAATTTTAGCTGCATACTCTATACCTGTCTCTTTCTCTATGCACCTTCTCACAGTGGAAGATATTCCTCTGAAATATATGTTGAAGATTTAAGCTTAACCTCTACGAAAGTCGATGCAGCCTTCGTTAAAGAATAACGTGATGCTTGTGTAGCGCGATCTATACAAATAACCTCTCGAAATTTACTCTAATTATGTAATATCACCGTCAACGCTACGACAAAGATCCATCGCAATTTCGTGCACTCATCGCCAAGATTGCTGGCGCCACGCATAACAAAGAAATAATACGCCTTCGAACGTATTGAGCACGGTTTAATAGTGAGCAGTAGCTAGCACAACGTAGAGCATATCGACGCACCTTCCCAGGATCTCCTTGGGCTCGTATTTGGCGTAAAATCCCTTCGCCGCGTCCTTGTCCGGCAACACATCGTCCACTTCTTCTTTCGCCATGCTTCGCGCCGCAGTTTGTCTGACACGGCTTGGCGAATCATAAAATATACACACTGGAGCGTACACGCTTTTCTTCTCGCGTGGGATTCAGTGACCGCACCGAAAACAACGTGCACCTAATGAGAGTGAAAAGTCGTCCGATGAGTCACACTAGTCGAATCTTTGTTGTCCGACCGCACTTTCATGTTCGTGCACTTCGTCGCGCGTTCGATCATCTGTGCACGTCTCGCAGTCGCGACGTCGACCAACATTGACTATCAATAGCACCTCGCGGTAGATATAAAAGAGGTAAGGAAGAGAGAGGAAACACACACATGTAACCGCTTTGCAGCAGTGCCGGAAACAATACTATCGGATTGGCGCTAATCCAGTGGATGTGCAGGTGCAATCGTACGGAAGGGCAGACGACGCATGCCCAGTGTAGACGCTAGCAGACGCATACCGTGACCTATGTTACTTTGTTCTCAATTCATATTTAATTGTTCATATACGTCAGCATCGATAGCCGCCAAACTGTCGGACGCAACTCACTCAGATACGACGCTTTCGCATCAAGTGTGACAATGCAAAACTGAGTGATCACCGAGATCTGTTTACTTGCTCGTGCGAATGCAACAGGTGTTGTAACGAAAGTATATCGGTAATTTTGAAATTCCAGAGATCGCGCGTAAAAGTGCCCTCATTCTTTTTCCACTCGTTTGTACATCCCCTCGAGAGGAAATCTCGATAAATGCGAACAAGAAGCTCGAGCTTCGCGCTCATATTACAAGCGATTACGTCACGCAGTATGTACATTGCATCGTGTCCAACTGTATGCGCGTAAATGCACCTTGCGAATGCATCGCGCTCGCGAGGAACGCGAAAGGGAAAAATAAGCGAGCGAGTGGTAGTAGTCTATTATCGAGGCCAAGATCGCTTTGTCCCGATGTTTATACATATACACTCGTATATGACATATAGATCAATGTGCACTTCAATAAAACTCGACGTCATGTGACTCGAGCAGTAACTACTATTTTAATTCACGTCGTCTAATACGCAATACTGCACGCTCAGAGCAATTGCGTCATGTTTTATAAATCCTACAGCAGCTAGGAAATACATATATTCACATTATATCTGGATATAAAGTGTAGTATTTGAAATACGCGAAATAGAACAGAATAATTTTACTTTCCTTCCTTGCTTGAGTATGCACATCGAGACATATGCACACAGAAAAATACATACTATATTCAAGTAAATGTCACTTGTTTCTAGTAAAAGTTCTTAGCATTTTAATCAAGAATATTGATTTAAAAATCCAAAATTCGGTTTGCTTGCTATATTGAGTCAAACTAACTTCTTCTTGAAGTTTTTTTATGATATTCTTGTAAAAAAAATTAATTCTTCTTTCAAATACATGATGATGAACTTTCCTCAAATTTATAATGAGTACATTTGATGATTGTTATCAAGAAATTTCTTTGTTAAAAAAATAGCTATTACTTGAAAGAAGGAAACTAAACAATCGCTCTTCTTAACACTAGAATGATATTTATTTGTGTGTGAATACGCAAAATTGCACATTATCAGATATATATTTACATTATATCATATATTATAAATTATCATATAGCACATTACGTAGATTTTTTAATTTGCTGAAAACGTTAAAGAAACAAGCGTAAATTCACCTTGCAGTTAAGCACGTGAGAACCACTTTATTTCCATCACTTTCCAACAATGATGTGAATGGAAATATTGTAACATCTACGGACCTCGAAGTTGAGCTAACAAAGCTTCATTTTTGCGACACTCGATAGTGAGCTGTCTGACCGCCGCAACATATTTACGTTGTTGTTCTACAAGAGTAACGAGTTGTCGACTGAGTGCATCTCGGCGATTTTTCTCATCGGCGCATCGTTTCTCTACCTGAATAAAAAATCATTTTATTGATCAAGTTTTTAGACTGCAATACTGTAGTATCGTGATTTTTTACAGTTACCATAGTTTTGTTGCGCTTCACCCCGGCAACGATTGTTTCGAACTGCTTCAGGAACTGTTCCTTGCCGCTCGCCGAAGCCATAGCTCTACAGTCAGATAAATAAAATTTAATTATTCATGTATTGTTAAGGCTACGATTGCTTTAATGCCATTGATATGTGTGAAGCGTACTCGTTATAATTATCCTGGATAGAATTCAGCAGCGACAATTCTTTGCTTAGATACAGCTTCGTGTCATCAAGGGTATTATATAATGTATAATACTGTTTAGTTTCCTTATGCTTGGCGGAAACTGTAATATTTGGTCAGAATTGATCGTGAATCTTATATTCGCGCATAAAGGTGACTTTAATTTAAAAAACCTTGATTGTAGAGCTCCATAAAACGTCGTTGATACTGCGTCAGTTCGGAGCGTACTGGAACATCGTCTAATTGCCTAGTTAAGGACGCGATAGTTCTGTTCTTTTTCGCTAGCTGCAACCGTACTCGCGTCACGGCATCCTTCTGATCCTCATATTCTTTGACGCGATCCTCTTCCTCCGTCGGAGCACCGTCCTCGATCTCTTGTAACATATCTCGAAGAAGATTTAAATCTGACTTGCATTGCTCCCGAAAATTGTGCTCCTGTTCCTTTAATCCGTCATGCACGGATAGAAGTTCCTCTAATCGTTTGAAAATGCTAAAAGGTACAAATATATAGAATAAATAGGATTATTAAAATATGTATCGATAAATAATATATAACGAGTTAATCCTTTCTATTGCTTCTAAGTACCTATTGTTATCATTTATTCCAATTTCTTGAATCTTCTTGAACGAACGTTCAATGGCTTCTCTCTTTGCACGACATTCTTTCGTTTTACCTACTATCTCAGCAAGTTTATCTGACAAACTGTCTTTTTCCTTTGTCAATTTGCGAGTTCTGGATTGCAACGTTGCTTTTTGTTTTTGTAATGCTACCAAAGCACGTGATGAGTCTGTGGCACCACTATCCTATATTCATACAAAAATAAAATAAAACATTAACATCATCATGAATCTTAATCGTATAACACATGTGTTTTGTATGGAAATTTACCTCTATTTCAGAAGTAGACATAGCTGCGTATTTTTCCGCCACTTTGGCAATCTCCTGCGCTTGTATACCAACGATATTTCCAACTGTACTCACGCTTAAACGTGCCTAGATAATAATCGTGATCATTAGCAATAACAGTTTAAATTAAAAATCATTTCATCTTTAGCAATTTCGAGATAAAACTAATTATATATATAACCAATTTATAAGAAAAATTGTTTTGTACTTTAAATTCTACATACCGAATTTTCTTCAATGACAGCTAAAGTAGCTGTAATATCTTCGGTGGTAATCTATAAAACATTAACATCAATCTTTCTAGTAATAAATATTACTGAGCAAATGGTTATGTGAACTTAAAAATAATTTAAAAATACTTTTTCACTTTTTTCATTACTCGACTCGTGTTTGGGATCGCCAGTTTTAGGTTCTACCGATGTTGATGTCGTAGTCGCAATGTTTTCAACAGCCTCAAATGGTGCTTCATATTCTAATACTGTGCTAATAAACCTGTTTGCTTCATCCTTCACAAAACCCTCTTTTTGTCTGAAGAATCGTCGCGGTTCATAGGCTTTCTAAAATAAATCAGATATTTAATATCATGCATGTCTACTGTGTACCACATGCTTATGATAAATTGTACCTTGACTGAGCGTAAATTTTTAATCATATTTTCTTTAGCTGTTCTTTCAGCCTCAGAATCCTCACTGAACGAATGTTTCTTATGAAATTGATTTAGAGCAAAAGATCTCACAAAGCTTGCCGTTTCTTGTCGCATTTCCATAGAACGTTTTATCAACCATTGAATAACCGGAAATATATGAATGCAGTCTAAACCTTGTATTTGATGTGGCTCTATTCGATATGGACAATTCATTTTAGGAAGCATAACTACAATTTTTTCTGTCAAGGATCTGCAATATATATTTCACAAAATGTATAAAAATGATTTCTTTACAGGTAAGTCTCTAAGTAAAAGACTCTATTGATATACTAGTAATAAAAAAAGCTGACAGAATATTTTAATTTACAAAATAATACTCACATTTTCTGACCAATTGTGAGATTCTCTTGGAAAAGCAAATCTACATCTACATCAAAGTTACATGATTCTATGCACCAGGTCATGCCACCAACCACCTAATCAAACATATTGTTTCAGAAGTTACATATATGTTAAAAATAAGTCAGAAATAATTCACAAACCTTATCAAAATTCGACAAACCCTTTATCCGTGCTCTGAAATAACCTGCTGCAACAAGTAAATCAATGATCTCTTGAAACTTTGTGGTTTGTTCCTCATCTTCGCGCACGTCAGCCTAAAAATACGTCATTAGAGATTCATAATATTATCATCTTTAAACACTATTTTATTTAAATTACCGCCAAGAAGATTTTACCAAACAGATGATGCTACGATATTACATATGTAGCAAAAAAAAATGCATACGAAAACTGATTTTAAAAACATAGAATCACGTACGTATATTTGATATTCTGATTTTAATGAATTTTAATACATTTTGGCAGCATTTAATAAATTTGTAGGATACACAAACGTCTTTACGTACTTCTGTACTTTCGGAGTGTTTTGGTAACCTTTTCGGCACATCGTTTAACATATTGCAGTTGTTTAATCTGCTGCACTACCCACACGTTATCGATTATCCAGTAGGATATTAATCTATTATATTCAATACAGCATTATGTACTTGTCACAACTTGTCATTAGCATCACATAAGAAACATTACTAAAGATCCAGCCATTTTGAATCACGGACCAAAAACTATCGCTAGAGAGTTAAGCCCATCGCACATGAGCTGACATAGGCTGCGTTCCTTTTGGGCGCACTTTAAGCGCTTATAAGCGTCACTCTATAGGTTTGTTCGAGTTGCTTGTACTATTCACACTTTTACACCTAATGCCCGTTGCACACTAGTGCACCTCATACAATACAAATTTTCCAAAATACGTTCTGAAGACGCTTTTAGGACGGAAGGATGTCATCAGAATAGTTTTAGGACGTCCTTTGAAAATGTTAGCTGTCTGAAAATAGCTGATATCCAATAAGTTTATTCGCATTAATTGAACTTTTTACACTTTCACACTTAGTGCACATTAATTCTTTAGAGGTTCTAAAAATGACGTCATGACTTCCGTTCGTGTTAAGCCCGTATCAGACTATAGATTAGGATTGAGATTGAATTGAAATTTAGCCAATCAGAGTAAAATTCACTAAGCTCAAATTTGGTGAATTTTGCTTTGATTGGCCAATTTTCAATTCAATCTCAATCTTAATCCTTAGTCAGATACGGGCTTTACGAGTGTAATTGCAATTTTGATACACTTTTTACACTTGATCCCAAGCAAGAGTGAAAAGTGTATCAGAATTGCATTTACACTCGTAACATGAACGAAAAACATGACGCCATTTTTAGAACCTCTAAAGAATTAATGTGCACTAAGTGTAAAAGTGTAAAAAATTCAATTAATGTGAATAAACTTATTGGATAGATATTAGCTATTTTCAGACAATTCACACTTTCAAAGGACGTCCTAAGAATATTCTGAGGACGTCCCTCCGTCCTGAAAACATATTCAGAATGTATTTTTAAAAATTTGTGTTGTTTGGAGTGCACTAATGTGCAACGGGCATTAGGTGTAAAAGTGTGAAAAGTACAAGCAACTCGAACAAACCTTATTAGCGTGTCAATTTGGCGACAATTTGATACCAAATTGTTTGCTGGGGAGATGCCGGACATGAAAACTTCGCCGACAAAATATTGACTTTTTTCTGCAAAGTTTACGTCTTGTTCCTTGCACAGAATTACAAACGCTTTTACATAACAAAAATGTATGCAAAAATAAATTGGAATATTTTAGTATTGCTCAATATGTAACAAAAATGAAAAAAATATGTTTAAGTTTAAATTTTGAGCTGTCAGTTAGTGCAATATTTGTTTAATACAAACATTCTGCAGGTTGTACATACCGAAATTATGGATGCTCCAATCAGGAAAATTTCAAAGATTACTACTGCACTTTCAGAATTTAGTTTTGATGCCAAAACAGATACGAAAAGTTTGCAGAAAAGTTAATTGATGCTTTCCAATTGCAATATCCCTAGACACTTTCATGCACATGGTCACACAAGTTACATTCCAATTGTCATAATCGTCGACACAACATTATACATCCGTATTCAGCTCGAGGGCTACTAGTCGGCTGTGTAAACTAGTGTTTTCTAGTGAAAATTAAAGTTAATAAGCGTAGCGGCTTGAAAAGAGACAGACATTTGCGACGTGAAGTGGATAATATCTTTTTTATTATTTAGATTTTATTATTTATTATTAAAAAATACCAAAATATAAGCATAGTTGAAAAATAATCCTAACCTTATCCGACATACATACATAAATATACACTTTGTTCCAATTGAATCGTGCACAACGTTACACTTTGTACATTCTGTGTACATATGTGTCAAGATGTGTTAAGCAATTGGAAAGCACCCTATGATTACATACGGTTAGGTTTTCCGCGTAAATTAACATTGGTTAATGCGAAATGAAAATGATATCGCAAATTACCTTTGCTAATTATATTAAAATTCAAATAACAAGTAATATATTCTTCAAAAGGCTATTCGTAAACTACGCTTGCGCCTACAACACTCTTTTCTAAAAACTCTTTCTTTGATGTACCCGGTAGACAAGCTATTTGAAGAATTCATCAGAAAAGTAGCAAGAGCCTATTTTGGAAAGAATACGAATGGCAACGTGGTGTTCACAATTACGTAACTATGTGTAAGAAAATTGAAATGACAACGTAGCACACTTGCATAACATCTGTGAAAAGATGATAAGGGTATCATGTTAGCGCCTATTTGACGATCGTTTTTATCCCATAAGTATCTATGTGTACATAAATTCGATATCGTTGGTAAATGATGATAACGTTTTCTACTTTTTGATGATCACTCTACGTTATCGATGCTTATCAAATTCGTCGCTCGCTCCGGCATCCCCTTGCATTAACAATAAAGGTACGAAAAATATAATTTTTATTAAAATTAAATCATTTTATTAAATCATATTATCAAAAAATTATATTACACTGTGTTCAGTATAACATATATAGACAAAATGTAAGGCGTTTATATCGATCGAAGAAGTGGTGTAGTGTCTAAGCAAGAGACTCATAATCCAAAGATGCTTCATGGTCCAAGTTCGAGTCCCAGTGAGAATTTTTAAATGTGATGTAACATTGGAATCAAATAATTAAAATTTTCAAGTAAAATCAGCAAACGCTGTAATTGGTTTAGGATTTTATTTCCTCCATACTGACAATAGGCTCGTTTCGGTTAGACTCCTTTCTGAAACGCTTATTTGTGTTAGCCATTTTGCGGAGTTTTTTGATGGTGAGATTCCGAATATCCTGTGCAGTAAGGTAAACATCGAATTCTCGCTCTAATGTTTGCTTGACCTCGACTACCGTCATCGAATCCATACCGATTTCCGATAGCGGAGTGTGATAACCGACTATTTTTATATCTTTCAGCCCTGTGTTAGTAAAGACGAAAGAATTAAGGATTTTGGTTTCTCGTCACTGTTATCAATGATACGAATGGTAATGTCAGATGTGAGAAATAACTCACAATATTTTTGTAAAATATATTCGAAAAAAAAGATATGTCCATAAAATAAAACATGCGATCGATTGCGTAAATTTGTAAAATACTATCAACATTTTTCTATTGTAGTAATGATCCAGGGATTCTCTAAGAAATACTGAACTGTAAAATTAATGTCAAATGCAGCCTATCTATTTACTATGTAAAATTGTTGTTTTAATTGTACATTCATTTTCTGATTACTGATGGAAATGAGATGTTTTCAGCTTATCTTTCAAATTTGTTCAGTTGATCATAAAAGATATATTTACGGATATATTTTTTATTGTAACGCATCTTGCGATAGTTCTGAGCGCGCATTTTCTCGATTTCGATGTCATCTAACAAATTAACCACGTCGATGGTAAACAAGTCTTAAACAGATACTATAGCAATTAAGAACATAAGCAGAAAAGTCACGTCACACGCAATAAATATTTTCTATCCATGAAGAAACTTACCCATGATATTTGCAACGGTCTCTAAAATGTTCATCTCTCCTTTTAGATCCGTTTCCTTCTTTGCCACGACCATACTACCCACGATAGGTCGACTTTGCACCAAGAAAGCATCTAGTGACTGTAGACAGGACAATATTTTCTGCTGCAATTTACCTCCAATAACTAATTCCTTATTATCCTCCATCATGTCAACAACGAGACCGACATCACCCACCACGCCCCATTGTATAGCCATCCCAGGGAATCCGTCCTGCACTCTCTTCTCGCAAATTCTCTCTATGATAGAATTGGCCATAGAATAATTAGTTTGCCCGCCATTACCTTGGCCGCATGAGACAGACGAGAAAATTATGAAGTGTCGAAGATCGGGGCACATTCTTCTGGATAGTTCGTCAAGCATTTTTGTGGCCTTCGCCTTCGGCTTGAATGATTCTTCGAAGGTCTCAACGGTTTGGTTCTTGTAGATAGCATCCTTCAGTACTACCGCGAGGTTAAATACAGCGTCCACTGGTCCCATTACCGCGGCGGAATTTAAGATACTTGCGCAGTCTTTATGAATAGATGCATCAGCACCTATAATGATTTGTACATCCACTTTATAGGACTTCCATAGTTCTACTCTTGAACGTTGATAACCATTTCGAATCCCAGTCCGTGAAGTCAGGACAAGCTTCCGGGCTCCGCGCAGAATCAGCCAATCGGCCAATTCCAAACCAAAACCACCGAGGCCGCCCAAAATAATGTAAGATTTATGAGGCTCGCAGAAAAATCGGGGATAAGCGAGAATAGGAAGGTCCAGTGGCTCGTTTTCGTCGCGTATCTTAATTAGTACCTGAAAATAAGAATAGTAACTATCAAATTTGACGTGAACGTGCAGGAAGAATTTTCGCGTAATCATGAATATTTCGCTCGTTTCTATGAGAATAATTACCTTTCCTATGTGCTTACCAGCTGCCATGTACCTGAAAGCAGCTTCTATTTCGGTCTTTTCGAAGACCTTCCTCGGGAGCGGTTTTATCACGCGCTTTTTTAAACCTTGCGAAAATAAGTCATATAAGTGTCTCTTTGTTTCTTCGGAGGCGCAGGTTATTTTGTCCAACATAACGCCGTGGAAACTAATGCCTCTCGCGAAAACCATTTTATCTAAGATATTATTGGAAATTAAATCGTATTTTCCTATTTCAAGAAATCGACCACCTCTCGCCAAACAGCGAACAGATGCTTGAAGTTTATTCTCAGCTAGAGAATTTAGCACGATATCTACACCCCGACCGTGTGTTTGCTGGACGATCATTTGTACGAAGCTTGTATCGCGAGAATTGCCAATATGATCATCAGGTATAGAGGGGAAAGTTTCTCTAATAAATTGTCGTTTCTCAGGTGTTCCGACTGTTGTAAAAATTTCGCATCCTTCGTTTAGTGCGAGATTAATCGCGGCTAAACCAATACCACCGCTGCCCAAATGAATGAGAACTTTATCCCCTTTCTTAATTTTTCCTTTCATGTACAGAGCATAGTAACATGTAGCATAAGCGCACGGAACTGTGGCAGCGTCCTCAAATGTCCACTCGTCAGGTATAATCCAGGATATAATGAAATCATCTATTAGAATATTTGATATTGCTCTAAAAAAGAAAATGGTTTTACAGTCAGTTTAATATAGTTTTCTTGATAATACAAGGCATAAAATGCCTTCAATTAACCACTTGTCTGGTATTGATGCGTTTCTGCGTCAAAGAAAGGATGTACCAAAAAGGACATTGACGCAATAATGTGCCCATGTTTTATATTTCTCTAATCAGCAAAATTTTCATGGTACTCGATAATAGGTGTTTTGGGTTGCTTCATACGAATTTAATGTAAAAATTTCAAAATTCAAAATGATGAGTCCAATGTGATGACCAACATTTTTGAGAAATTCGACGAATGGTTAGATTATCATGAAAATTAGTAATAAAGGATTTTATGACTCCTCAACTACGATTTTTCTTGTGTTTTTTGGGATCTTAAATACGAATTTGGACGTCAACATTCTAAAATTTGAAATGGCAAATCCAATCTAATCATCAAAACGTTTAAATAATCCCAGTTCAAAGACTTCAAGATCTTCGAGGACGAACTTTCATAACAGCTCGCCACTTTATGGAATTTTTAAAAAATTCTAATTGCCATATTAAATTTTTTGAATTTTGAGTTTTGCAATTTTAATTCCAAATACACATCCAGCGATTCGAAAAATATTTTAGTACTGACTTTTATAAAAATCGAACAGCATTTTCATTTTGCTCTTTTTTAGCTCAGTTGATGCGGATTTTCGCTATCAGTCAAGTAGTTAATAGCTAAATTTAAAATCTATCCAAATAGTGTCGTTATAGAATTATATGTTTTAAATATAGACAAAAATTCGAGCAGTAGTATCCCACCTATAAGAAGTAAAACCCATTATTCGCTGCCCACTTTTATCAAAACCAGCAACTTCGTAACCAAATATAGAATCAACGTCTCGTCTGATTGATGCAAAGGATTCCAGAAGAAGTTTACCGGTAGCTATCATAATATCTTTGAAATTAAGCGTTGCATAAACTATGTTTATACTATGCTTGATATTGGCAGATACTCGTCCTTCAACCCAACGGAACGTGCTGAGATCACCTAGAGTCTAATGAAAATTAATTTTATTATATTATTATAAACAAAAGTATTTGTGTCAAATAGAAAGTTTCAAATTTAAACGGCATTTATCGTTTCGATATTTTACACACAGTCTATTGCTGTTCACAGTATGTGAAACAAATATCATTTTGTCTCGATTTCTTTTACTTTATTTTCTTGAATAAATACGTTAACACACCTGTTGAAGAACATAGCCACACTGCACAGGTCTCGGCTCTGGCACAGGTAACGGAAAGTGTCTGTAAGAGCCCCAAATTTTGCCGGGACGTAAGACGTTAATTGGCAAGTTCAGTTGCAATTGCTTCATGTAGAATGGCTCTTGCAAGGAAAACTTGGGCGCATCCTTGTCTTGAATAAATATGCATTCAATCATTTCCCCACTTGGCTCTTTTCGTAAACAATTAACAAGTCCTAATACACCGCACTCCGAATCACCTTCTGCAACTACTATTACTTTTTTATTTTTTGTATTTGCATTCAACTCGTTTTCTATATCCATTGCGTCTTTCAGCTTGTCAATCCACGAGAATTCGTGATTGCTTATATGTACGACTTCTCGAATCTTCACGGTGTTTAGCGCCTTTTTTAAAAGTACTAGAACCTCTCGTTCCGTACGTTTCTCCAGGATAACATTCAGATTATTGCGTTGCAGTAACGAGTGATCGTAAGTCATACTGAGATCCTCTCTGCTCAGCAAAAAGCCTCCAGTCATTACACTGGACAATAATTTGTTTGTAAAGTGTATATCTTTAGTTAAAATTCCAACACCAACGGCCATTAAGCAAACGTTGTCTTTCGCCAGTTTTTCAAACTGTACGATCGTCAGATTTGGAGGCAAAGAGGAATTGTTGAATCTATTGGCCGTTGCGACCAACGTAAGTTTAGATCGTACTAATGGCACGTTATTTAGAACTTCTTGAACAATTGGAGTAACCAAATCCTGCAACAGGATTTTGTCGTTATCCTCGACGTACTCGATTACTTTGACGTTTTTCAATTCATAGCACTCAAGTGCAATGTCCACCGATATTTTCACCGCTTCTTTCAAGGACACTAAGGCGTGATCGCGATAAGCAGTGAATCTGTATTCCTCGTGTATTGCTTCGGCGCATGTCAACCGACGAGATATGACCGTAGCTTTGAGTCCGGAAATTTCTATTCCTCCGGATACTATTGCATCTATAGAATCGTAGACGCGTACGGGTAAGTCTGTAATAAAATTTGATATTTTGACATGAGAATAGGAATCTTTTACGTTAAAATTATAGCGAATTAAGGAATTTTTTTAGAATAAACCGAAGATTCTCTTACCTCTTTCTCCAACAGGGAGATTCTGAACCTGCATTAAGTGATATGTAGGATCGATTACCAATTTGTCAATTTGGATCGGTATGTAAATACTTCTTGAGTCGAGCGACAGAATTTTCATTTGCAACATATTGTCCATGAATACTACCCAGTTTGACAGCCATTTAATATGACCTATCTTTCCTGTGATCGAGGCACTCTTCAGCGAACGAAATAAATCGGTATACTGATAGCCATGAAGACGTAACTCCTTATAAATATCTGCGGTATTCATGTACTCCTCATCATCCTCGTGCTTGGACAGAAATTGGACAGGTAACTTTTCACTCGCGATATCGTCAGGTACTCTCGCGACTCCACTTACGATAACATTGTTTCCTTCTATAATCTCAAAGTTGTTACTGTCTACAAGAATATCAAGAAAATATTACCAATTAAAACTGCATTGTAAGTATCGAAATATCGAAAATTGTGTCTCAAATATCTGTGAAAGGATTTACCTTGGATTATTAAAATTAATTCCAGTTCATCTTTGTTTGATAAATAAGTGGTGCGAACGAATTTAACATTTTCAAATACAATTGGTGTTTTGCGAAAGTCAATGGCGCTCAACCGACTAATCATATGCCAAATTAGAAAAAGATAACCGGTAGCTGGTAACAGATTTTTCCCATCGATTACATGACCAGACATGTATTCGTAGTCTGCACTAGCGGTTTTAATATTGACGGCTACTTCTCTGTTAAACATTTTTTCTTCACCTTTATAATGGACGAGGTAATAGTCCTCAGAGTGATTCCATCTGTAATAGTCATAGTAGAACAATAAAATACGGAAAAGGGAAAATGTTATTCTTTCATACATTGAAAAACGTACCTGACGAGAGGAGAAATCATTGGTGTCCCACGACTAACCGGAAATTGCATTGGAGGATATAAATTTGAAATTTGCGGCTGGAAGCCTGTATTATAAATATCACCAATTCCTTCTAAAACATCTTGTATGGTATTCGCATGGCTATGTTTACACAATGAAATCAACGTTATCGTTGATTTCAACGACTTTGTTATGATTGATTGAAAAACATTGTGCGGCATCATCTCGACAAATACTATATCTTTTGATATCAAAGGTATAATATTTTCTAATGGTACCGGGTACAATATACCGTCTACATAATATTTCGCCACACTTGCGCATGAGTTGTCGAATTCAATACGAGATCTACCCAACCATGTTATGCCGCGACTTTTTGGAGACTGCAGCGGTAATAGGCGGCTAAAATGCTCCAAAACTTGCGATCTGACAGACTCAAAGTATTTGCATCGATTTGCAGTAATATCATCAATCTGAAAAAACGATATTTAATTTCAAGTACGCATGTCTGCATAGATATGGTGATTATAAAATTAATATCCATCCCTTGAATTATTTAACTCTTAGAGTACTTAGTAGGGAAGCGTATGTATTTGCTCATTTCAGGCTACATTTTAAAGAGGCGTTTTCACACTGGAAAGCGTCGTTATGGCCTGCAAACATATACAGATGGTATCTGACGCAAGATATACAAAATCATATGTGAGGGTAGAGCGCATCAATTTGACTACGAGCATCTCTGTCATTTTGCAAACGACGAGGTAGAATTTTGACATATTAAAGGAAGAAAAAGGACGAACCAGAGCGCGCAACATTGTGAAATGAGCTCTGTTAGTGCAAAATTTCATTCTTTACACGTTCCAAATTTCTATTTTTACAAGTGATTTTATATGCTTGCTTCAGATAGCCTTTATATTTGCACGGAATAGCAGCGATCGGATGAAAATCGGTTACATAGAATATACAGTTCTGCATTGTTCCGCATTCTCTTAGAATTAATAAGTCACTGTATATAATACCTGTATTTTGGATTGCTCAAATGCAATGCCCATATAATATGCCATCAAAATTGTTTCTTCAATAGTGAAAATTCCATCAACATATTCGCAAATTAAGTCACCAATGGAGTGGCCAATCATGTAATCGGGTACGATACCAATATGCGTTAAAAGATCCACTAGACCAATCTACATTGTTGTTCAGAAAAAATCATATTTTTAATTGAGTTATATTAGGTTTCATGTGTACTGTGTAAGTTTTAATATGTGTCTGTATGTATAATTGAGTGGTTAAAAGGTAAATCAGGTAAACCAGGTAGGTCAGTCATTGTTCGTTAAAAAGTTATTAAGATAAAAAGTTAGATAATAATTAACCCGTAGTGTCAGTCAGTTGGCTGCTGCTGTGTTACATTCAGTTACATACGCGCGCATACACACACACACACACACACACACACTGCTCGCCTGCACGCGCGCTCGCCCGCCCGACGGGGCAATCAATGTGTGTGTGTGTGTGTAGCAGGCATCTTCCTAGCCTACAAATTCGATGTTTTAGTATATACAGTGTCCAAAAATTACATTCATTTTATGCAAATTCTTTTGTTAATAACTTTTTAACGAACAACGATCGACGGCTAAAACCTTTAGAAGGTTACCTCAGGAGGGTTACCTCTATAATAATATATGTGAAGGCCAAGGTCATTGGAGCTGGGTCCCCTAAACCCCACTATTACCCTTACCTGTACAGCAATAGTTGCTACGAATGATTTTAAAACGCTGTTGCAAGTGAATTTGTTTTCGTCCGTTAGAATATCTGTGACGTACATATCATGCTGTTTTAATATCGCATTGCATTTTTCAATTGCCTTGGCAAACACTGGCAGCTTCATCAATTCTTCATGTATCAAAATCAAATATGTTAATGATAAAATCAAATGTATTAATGACACATGAGTTCGAGTTGTAGTCAGATTATAGGCAAAAGTATATATTGTTTATACAATATAACAAGTTATAAGTTACTTTAATAATTATTAGCATACCTATATTACACCACACAACGTCTGTCCTTGAAAATACAAAGCAGATTGGTTTCCTTACATTTCCAATTTTCTTTATTGTGTTAGGAGCTGTTTTCGATCCTGCTATAGTATATCCTCTATACGGGTGCCCTTCAATATTTTCAGCATGAACACGATGCAGAAGAGCAACGTATTCCACATCTAGCTCTCGACTATTTACCTACCTCCGAAAAGTTACATATACATATTTTGATACAAATAATTGTTTTATTCTGAGATAAATATTGTTTTACTATACTGACTCTTATAAAGTAATAATATAATCAGACAACTTACATCATCTAAGAGAGTTTTAACAGCCTCCTCAGTACGACCAGATACAACTACAAGTCTAGGTAAATCGTCTGATGATGCATTGTTGATTTTATTTTTGGGATTCGATTTCAACAATATGTGACAATTTGCACCGCCAAATCCGAAAGAATTAATACATATGTAACCACCTTTATATGAGGTAGGTTCGGTAACGATCTTTACTCTGCCTTCAATTATAGCAGTAATTTCCTTTCGCGGTATTTCATAATGTATATTTGGTGGAATTATACCAGTTTCCATTGCTATCAATACCTAAAAATGTTTAAACGCTTTAATTATAATAGGAATAATAGAAGCATAACTGCGGGGTTGTAAATAAGATGCAAAATTTAAATACATATATAGTAACTAAATTTTAACGCTACTATTCCTGTTATTCACATACTTTCGTCACTTGGCAAAGAAAACTGGTAGGTTCCGAATGCCCAATATTCGATTTTATCGAACCCATCAACAAAGGAGCAGTTCTTTTTGAGCATAAAGCTTGATCAATAGCACCAACTTCTACAGTATCTCCTGCTTTAGTACCCGTTGCGTGAGCCTCTATGTAAGATAGCTCTTTAGGTGTAACACCGCAATCATCATAAAACTCTTCTAATAAATTTTTCTGCATGCTGAGTGAAGGATACATAATGCCTTCTTCCTTGAAGCCGTCACAATTGGTTTTAGCGTAGACGAAAGTCGCATAGATTCGTCTTGCATCCTTTGCTTTTTGCAGGTAAATTACCGCGATAGTTTCACTGCGCACATAACCAGAACCACTAATGTCGAAAGGCTTACAGTAACCATTATTGGAGAGAACTCCTGCAAATATTCACAATCGCTGATTATAAGAGCGACTGTTTGATTTGCTATTGTCACAGTGCTTCCACATAAACAACAAATGTAAGACGAAAGAATACTTTTCTTGAATATAACTTACCAAGTCGATCATACTGAAGAGTTATATTGGGATTTGAACACAGATTGGCGCCTCCTACGATGGCCGCGTCGCATTCTCCACTTCGTATCATCCTGTAAGCTTCCGCCATAGTGTAGCTGCATGAACTGCAGGCCGAGTCCACGACATAAGATGGTCCATTAAGACCGAACCAGTTAGAAATGCTGTTTGCTAACCAATATTTACTAGACCTTATAACTGGGAATCCAGGTATCTAGTTGCAAATAGATAAACTTTATGTAAGTTTTTCTCTCTCTGTTGTGTGCATGTCTGCTGCCTTGCATATATAGGGTTTCCGTTAACTTATAGAGAAGTCATGGTGTATACAGGTAGATTAAGTTAAACTGAACAAAATATTCTTCAATCATTTTCCTCTATCATTTTTAATTAAAAAAAAATTGGGACATTATCGCGCATGACTGTGAAAAATTTTTATATTAATAACTATGTACGTGATCATTTGAAAAATGTTGGAGAGAGAGAGAGAGAGAGAGAGAGAGAGAGAGAGAGAGAGAGAGAGAGAGAGAGAGAGAGAGAGAGAGA